TATATATATATATATATATATGTAATCTAAACTAGTAATATATAAATTGATTTATGAATTAGAGGAAGTTCAGTGAGTGGCTTACTTATGTTCTGAGTATGAACTGTTTTGAGAATTGGGAAAGTTGGAAAGTTTTACTTCAGAGTTTGTGAATGTTATTGAGCATATCACTAATATGAGAACTAGGATTGATTTGTCATCACAACATAAGATAACAATTGACAATATATACAAGTGAGATATTAAAAGAGGAAGAACTACGTGTGGCTTGATCTCTCAGTAAGGGTACGTAGGTAGCCTGGGGTCCCACCCGCGTGCAACCGCAAACTAAAGATATTTCCAGAACTTTAATTTAGTCATTTGGATCTAATCTTACTTCTTTTGGTTTTAGAATGAGTCGGTGTCGATCGTGTCGGTGGTTTTAAAGCTCGTTTGAAAACAAGGCTTGATTTAATGAATATTTTTTTCCCCGTCGGACTAAGTGAGTGTTGTTAAGTATGGTTGTGGTCAAGACAGTTTTGAATACAGTTTTGGATTGTTGTATGACTTGGGAGCCGAGTGCTTAAAGTACTTGTGATTGTGTTGGGTTGTTAAATATCGTACGATGGAAATTGAGAAGTTATTTTATGATAATTATGGTGGGCATGCATAATTGAACTCGAGTTCATTATTTGCGTCGTTAAATCTCATTATTTGACTTAAGAGCCGCTGGTGGTTCTGTTTTGAATTATTGAAGGCTAGAGGCCTAGTTTGTAAAATGCTTGAAGGTTAACTTGTGCATGCTGCCAGTTGTGGTTATTAATTGTGTTTTAACATGTTGAAAAATCTTGGGAAAAGTCCAATTTACAGGGGAGACTCTGCCGAATTTTTGGCAAAAGTCAAACCCTAAAGAAACTGTGGTTTTCATTAGAAGGGCATTTTGGTCAAGTGTGCTCAGCACCCGCCATGTGTCAGACATGCACAAGGTCCGGCGCAAATTCCAAAGTGGAATTTGGGTCGGGTCCTGTCACGTACTGTCTGTATTGCCCCCTGTTTCCCATAGCACCTTGGCACCGAGGAAATCGTCTTTGATGGTCTGGTTTCAGTCGAGCTTGAGTACAATTTCATTGAGTTTTTTGCCCGTGACGAGATTGGTGAAATCTGATTCTTCAATGGAGGTGAGAGAGTTGAGATAGTCGGTGACTTTGCCATAGAGCTGATTTTCTTGCATGCTTTCGTTGAATTCTGGGACTTTGAAAGATTGGTAGACATGGAAGCAATCTTCGAATCGCCTCCACCATTTCTTCACAAGAAAAACCAACCCAGTTTTGTACAGAGCCACACAGATTGCTACAAATATATAGATGGTTACAATTACAAGAAAGAATGGATTGATTCATTCTTTCTCTTCTTTTGAAATTTTGGGGCAAAAACCCAGTTCCCAAAACCAAAAAGTTGGGAAATTTGGTGATCTATAGCAGAGCTTTTTGTGGTGAAAAGAGAATTTTCATAAGTCTTTTCCTTCTTTTTGAAGAGAAAATCATGGTGGGTACATAGAGAGTTACGAATACACTTGGGTTCGGAAGAAGAGGATGAGTAAATGGAAATATGAAGAAAAAAAGGGAAATTTATATACAAATGAGAGAAATTCGAAAATATACAGACAGTTATGAATTTTCAATTTTTATTTTATCACTATTATTTATTTTATATTTATTTTTAACGTACAAAATGACTATTTTACCCTCATATTTAACGGCAAATTGGATGAAATGTTGCAGATTTAGATGGTATGGGGGAAATTGGCAAAAAAAAAAAGTTCATATCCTTAATTTTCTATAAATAAATAAATATAAAAAAAAAGATATGTGGTAAATCAAAAGTTAGGTACAAGTTCAAGGGGCAAATCACTAGTATACCCTTAGAAGAATTTGTGTATTTGTCTTAGACTCTAGAGCTAGGGAATGCACCAACCCCCCAAGTAGGAGTTATATTGTCATAATATCATCTAAGACTGCGAATGATACACGTTACAATCCCATGTATTTAATCCCAACAAGTACCATGCTTGACTATGGAGGAGTATTAATATTAGCACATGCGCATTGGGAAACAAAACCGTACAGGCAAACAAGCGTCGACAATGGTACTCAGGGACGGACCCAGGATTCCAAATTGGGGCGGGCTAAATCTTTAAGGTACGACGGTACGAAAAAATTTCATGTTCAACTCAATGGTATAAGTGAATTTTATTTTATGTTAAACTAAGCAAAATTTACATGTTAAATACTAAATTTTTTGTTGTGAAGAGGCAACGTCTTTTTTTCAAAAAATGAAGAAGAAAAACAAGCCTAAATACAACACAAACAAAAAAAAAGTATTAAAAACACACACTCTCTCTCATAAGCTCTATTTTTCCCTTTAACCGAAAACATTAGTTCTCTCTTATAATAAAATTATATAGTATTCTTTACCAACAAACAATTATATATAGTTTGTTTATTTTTATACTACCCATGCGTGTAGGCCTGCCCAAGCCCAGGCAAACATTTGTGATGTTTTTATTCCTTTAACCTATATATCATATCTATTTATGCCCTAACCCAAGATATGTGGGTATGTTTTTAAAGAGTAGGCGGGCTAAAATTTACTTTGGACTGTAAAAAAATTAAAGCCCCCCGGGCTGTAGCCCAGGTGAAGCTACACTAAGGTCCGTGCCTGATGGTACTTCATCCTGTTGGGAGGGATGGTCCAATCTCCCAGCATTTCTATCATCCATTTCACCTACCAAATTACCAATGCATTATGTTCATTTTCTTTATTTTTATTTTTATTTTGCTTGAACAAGCAGGATCGAGAGAGACGATAATTGAGTACATGACATATTCTTAATCACTTGAATTATATATTTCTTATTATTAAGATCTAACAACTTGGAAATTCGCGATGCCACAGCCCACGGTGAAAATTAATAAAATGTTTTACAAAAATAAAATAAAAACTTGGAAATTCTTTACGTATGAGCCAAGGCCCAATACACTTATTTTTGCAGCCGGCCATGGCCGTAAAAGAAAAAATTAAAAAACATGAAGGGACCTTCCTATGTAAAATCTGACAACGTCAGAAAGGAACCTTCACTGTAGTCTGACAGGAATAATAAAATTTGGGATATATTAGCACGACTTAGAATCTTAAGCTGCAGCAATCAATCATGACCCTTCATTCCCATTTTGTTTATGCATGCCATTCGAATATTGTCGGTGCTATGCCATTTCTACTTCTCTACCATCCATCCATCATCATCATCATCATCATCATCATCATGGCAAACGTACAGCACAAGTCCAAAATTTTATAGACCAGACGTGTGGCATCTCTCAAATTTGACCAAAGGAAAAAAGAGAGAAAAGGAACATTTTAGCTGGAGTCAATCCTTCTTGTCATCATCCAAACTCTTTCACAACGGCGGATCAAGAAATTTTCTTTTCAAAGATTAACGTCTAAAATGTTAAAAATATTATATACAAGATAGACCCAAATTTTTTTGAAGATAATATTATAATTCATTTAGAAAACAAAAAAATGACTAAAGATTTAAAATAACCAATTTGCCCCTCATTTTGATGGAAAAAAGTAACAGAAGTTAGTGCAGGACATTTGTTACATACAAAAGTGGAGTCGAGGGACTATAGAAGCTATTTTGAAAGTTGAGAGATTAAGAGCCAGTTGGGTATTGTTGTGTTGTGAAAATAATCACTGTCAAACGGACAATTAAAGCTCAAGTGGCTCCTAAAAAGCCTTTATTATATTAAGTAGTTGGTAAGTTAAAAAAAATTGATCATCTTCTTCAACATGCTTGCTTCCATTTCTCAATGGACGAAACCTCAAGTTGGTGCGAAAGTGTGTATATGGAGGCACACACGGAGGTCATATTACCGCGTGGTTGTGGGCCAACCCATGAACCGGACCCGTTTGGCACAAAAGCCTACACTAGTACAGTCTTTGTGTAGTCCGCCAATCCCGCCATTTGACACGTTTTTGCGCTTAACCGGCTCCCATCCCATCCACACCACTTGTTCTTGAGCCTTTTATTTTTCTAACTTTTACAACGTTGCTGGCTTCTTCATCTGTCTGAAAAACCAAACACCCTAAGATTTACCTTGCTCGGTTAAAATTTAACTTTTTGCGAAAATCTAGAGAGAAGAAAGATACAGAGTTGCCATTTTTATTTTTTGGTCAAAGTCTCCTCAGAGAGAAAGAGGGAGGGAAGTGTTGTTGTTGTGCGTGTACAGTAGGAGGAGAAGACAAAGCCGGCTCTTTTTGTTTTAGTTCTGTTTCACTGCCCCATTATCAGATTCTTTTACGCACCAAAAGGATTGGGATTTCTTTTTCTTCTCGCTCATTCTCTTCCTCTTTGTTATCGTTTTTGGTGTTTGTGGACTTAGATTCGTTTGCTTTTGTCCTTTAGATAGCGTCTGCATCTGCCTGATCGCTTCAACAAAGAGGAAAAGAAAGACAGAGAGTTGCCCAGATATTTGAATGGGCTTCGGATTGGGTTGTTGTAATACTGGGATTGGAAAACCAAACTCTGATTGAGCTTTGGATTCATCTGGGATAAATTTTCTTTCTTTTTTTCTCCTTCAATTTTTGGATTGGAAACGAGTTAAAAATAAGTGTGCCTTTTGATTTGGGGAAATGGGTTGTTTCCCTTGTTTCGATTCGAAGGAGGAAGAGAAGCTGAATAATCCAGTGAATGAAATTGATGACCGGAAGCAGGGTCAACCAACGGTCTCTTCTAACATTTCCAGATTGCCTTCTGGTTAGTTGTAGGCAGTTTTCATTCTTTCATTAAATCCTTATTATTTGGTAATTTCAATGTCTTGTTGCATGATCTGATCTGGGTATTTCTCATTCATTCGTTTTTATGAAGAACATGCTGAGGATGCCTTCTTCTTTTAGTTATTTGGTTTTGTTGTATATTACTTTGCTGCATGATTGATTGTTTGATTTAGTTTGTGAGTTCTAAATTGGATATGTTTTAGGTAGACCCCACCAGATTTTGACATAGTTCATAAAGAGTGTTCCTATCTTTTGTAAAATTAGATCTCATGATGACTTTGTTTGTTCAGGTCAATCTGATTGGTAGCCAGTGGTGGTGTCCCAAGTTGTAGCTTATTTGCATAATTGAAGAACTAGCATAGATATTCATAATTTCATCCAATTGAATACAGTACAACTGAATTTTATAACCTGTCCTTTATATGTTTTAGAACATGCCAAATTTCAATCATTTCGTATTGGGATTGTGGTTTCATTGCGTTTCCTTTGTTGCAAATCCACTTGATCTTTGGCTTCGAGTGTTTTGCTGAACTCAGGGTCCTATCTTGATCAGGGAGGTCTAGGAGAGACTGATATGATACTTAGGGATCTACACTAATTTGTTACAATTGTATTTGCAGGAGCAGACAGAATGAGATCAAGAAGCAACGGGGGCTCCAGAAGGGACCTGGGGTCTAAATTGCCTGATCTCAAGGATGTACCTGGGGTACAAATTGCTGCTCAGATTTTCACTTTTCGTGAACTTGTGACTGCAACAAAGAATTTCAGGCCAGAGTCTTTCATAGGGGAAGGAGGATTTGGGCGTGTATACAAGGGGCGACTTGAGAGTAGTAGTCAGGTAAATTCTTTTGCTGTTGCATGATCTGTTATTTATACGGAGAACAGGTATTACAGGATTGAGTTTTTGAAATGAAGCAAATGAGGCAATCGGTACAGGAAACATGAGTGAGATATTGAACATTAGTAAGCTGGTGGAATCAGTATACCAAAAATAGTAAAAAAAAATTTAGCAATTATATTCTATAGCTGTATGAAGTACTAACAAAGACTGCTAGGTTTTGCTTTATTATTTCAACAACAAAAAAAGAACTAAATTACCAATGACGAGGCTATAATGTGAGCTAGATTCTAGAGTTTTCAGTGTCATAAGGATGGTTATTAGACACTGTTAGAAAACAAAAGAGAAAAGCACGGTTGTTAAACTTCTCATTCAGAATCTAGAATGCTATAATTCTTGGTCCCATATCATACTTTCCAATCCATCTCAAAACGCCAAGGTTATACAATGCTTATGATATCCATCATGAATTATTAAATATTTGCGAAAATTGCAAAAATTCCACCTGGACTTTGAGGGCACTTTTATCTTTCCCTCCAATCTCCCGTGGGACTGCACTTTTATCTTTTCAGTTGTTTATTTATTTATATTATCTCAAGTTTTTATTTTTAGATTCTAATAGATTTAGAATTTATTTTATTTTATAATTATATTTTTTCATGGGTGAGGTAGTGATGAGAATGCCCTTGAAAATGCGTCCATGTGCAAGTCATGTGATGAATTTTGACGTAAATTCTCACATAAGGTGACAGAGGTGCCACATTAGCGCAAAAGTAAAGTTTGGATGACAAATTGTTGAATTTTTTTTTCATTGGGTGGCTATTGCACACACCCCTCCAGTTAGCATTTGTGCTATTTTGCAATTTTGTCTATATATTTAGACTGCAGATTCACTCTGACATTTCTAATAGGTCATGGATGTGCAGCATGATTTCACAGTATTTACCACATGTGACATGTTTGAGATGAGTTTGGATTCTTAACTTTGTTTTATGGCTTTAACAGGTGGTTGCAGTTAAGCAGTTGGATAGGAATGGACTTCAGGGTAACAGAGAATTTCTGGTTGAGGTTCTCATGCTCAGTCTTCTGCATCACCCCAACCTAGTGAATCTGATTGGGTACTGTGCTGATGGAGATCAGCGGCTTCTTGTTTATGAATTTATGCCCTTAGGATCATTGGAAGATCACCTTCATGGTATCTTTTCCTTTTTGTTTCCCCCTCTTCTTTTGGCTTATTGTCTGTTTCTCGCATTATGAACTTTTTACTTTCTAATTTCTGTTTCATTAATTTCAACTAGTGAATAGTGGTCATGGATTCACCTTACGGTGTTCAATTATTTAGACATTCAACAGTTCTGCTCTGCAAATATGGCAAATACATGTGATGCATGCTATGTGGAAGTGCTTTTTCAAAGGTTTCTTTTTCTAAAAAGAAAAAAATGAGGGAATATTTACAACGTTGGAATGAGTGGTGAATTTTGAAGTATTGCATACAGAAATATAAGTATTTTCTTTTATCAAATGCCGTCTCAGTGAAAAATAGAAGGAAAAAGAAAAACATTTGTTTATATTGCTTATGGTGATTTCCTTATGTTGATTTAAAAGATGCAAATAATCTAACAGAATTGTATCCAAACGATTTGAATGAATCACCTATAATAGTATGTTGATTCCTGTGCAGATCTTCCACCTGATAGGGAACCATTGGACTGGAACACAAGAATGAAAATAGCTTCTGGTGCAGCCAAAGGATTGGAATACCTGCATGACAAGGCAAACCCTCCAGTTATTTACAGGGACTTCAAATCATCCAACATATTGCTGGAAGAAGGATTTCACCCAAAGCTTTCAGATTTTGGGCTTGCAAAGCTTGGTCCCACCGAAGACAAGTCACATGTGTCGACCAGGGTGATGGGCACTTACGGTTATTGTGCTCCCGAGTATGCAATGACTGGACAATTGACAGTAAAGTCTGACGTCTACAGTTTTGGGGTAGTCTTTCTGGAGCTGATTACTGGACGTAAGTCCATTGATAGCAACCGGCCCCATGGAGAACAGAACCTTATCACATGGGTAATTTTTACTTAGTTTCTTACAGCATAATTGCCTGAAACTTATCTTCTTGTTGTGCAGGCTCTATGGGGCTGTCAAGCATGGTTTCTGTGTTGGTGAAAATAACTGAACAGCAGTGGTTTTATGTCTATGCAGGCACGTCCATTGTTCAATGATCGAAGGAAGTTTTCAAAATTGGCAGATCCAAGACTGCAGGGTCGGTATCCGATGCGGGGTCTCTACCAAGCTCTAGCCGTGGCATCCATGTGCATCCAGGAACAGGCTGCCACACGGCCTCTCATTGGGGATGTGGTCACTGCTCTGTCTTACCTAGCCAACCAGTCATATGACCCTAACACGGCTTCAGGGCATGGCCACAGAGGTTCTGGAGAAAAGGATGAGAGAAGACACAGAGATGAGAGAGGTGGAAGGATATTGAAGAATGAGGAAGGGGGAGGATCTGGACGCAGATGGGATTTAGATGGTTCTGAGAAGGACGATTCCCTGAAGGAAACCGCGAGGATGCTAAACAACCGGGATTTGGATAGAGAACGAGCTGTTGCTGAGGCCAAGATGTGGGGAGAGAATTGGCGAGAGAAAAGACGACAGAGTGCACAAGGCAGTTTTGATGGCACTAATTTGTAGTGCCATATTGTACAAGGCACCATCTTTGCCATTAGTTCCTTGCCTCCTTTCTCAGCGGACCAACATGTTTTCTAGTTTAACCATTTTTATTTTCCTTTCCTCTTATCCAAACATGAAGAAGAAGAAGAAGGAACCCATAAATGGAAATTGTACATTATCTTCTAGGAGAATGAGAACAGAAGAAACAGGACGTATTTAAAAATTTTGAGAGTAAACGCGTCTGGGTAATGCTATATGATTCTTCTGTCTCTTGTGCTCGTAGTGTTTTTTAAACAAAAAAAAATGAATATCTGTGGTTTGTCTCTGCACTCCCAGTCTTTTTCAACCACAGTTTTATCGCGTATTTTACATGTTTCTTTGGTGATGCGTTCATGCATGTGTTCAATTACTTTATGTCCCAAAGAAACCGGATTAATCTGCACTTTATTCTTCTTTCTTGCCGCAAATTGAGTGCCGTTCTTATCCTTAATAAAGCGTGCACTTCGCCACGGTTATCTTTTTATGTTCTTTCTTAATTGAACTTCCGAAAAAAATTAAAGTATAGAAAAGAATATACAATTCATCTCTTCTCGATGTTGAAAAAACTCTCAAGTTGGAATTTTGACAATCCTTTATACTAAGCCGTGGTTAGTGTCCATGGGCAGTATGCCATAGCCGTTGTGTGTGATATATAGGTAGCCAGGGCCATGATCGAGAGAGAAGGGATGCACCATTAATTTGTTTAAATTTTTTTTATTATGAAACAAAAGTTTAGGGGGATGGGAGGCTATCACATCCGAGGGCCAGAGTACTGCACCGTTAATTGAAGTACTCTCGCATGTTACATTTTTAGACGGACCACATTAGCCAATGCATCACATCACATTATACGGCATGTGGTAATTAATTCACTTATTAAGTCAAATTTCTGGTTAATAACTTGATCATAGATTCATAGGCATACTCTCATATCACAATTAAGTATTATTATTATTATTAATATAATTATGATAATAATAATTATAATGAGCAGAATTGAAGCCAAGCCAAGCGTACGGTATAGCTGTACCAACACTACACATACACATCAAACGACGCCGGATTCATCATGACTTGTATATATATAATTATGCACATGATACTGCAGCAGTGTGAGAGCCTGCATCCACCTCCACGCTTTTGCGGTGGTCATGCGGAGGAGGATCCACCGGATGAACCTCGGAAGTTGGTAATGTGGTTAAACCGACAACGTTTTTCACGTGCTGATCAGCAGCAACAGCAGCTGGTATCTTTTTCTCATCATCTTCTATGATCACCTGTTTGCGGTTTCTGTAGATTGCATAGAGCAGCATCTGAAGTAACCCCAGAATGAAACCCAACACGTTTGGAATCTACAAACAAAAAAATCAGAGAGGAAAATGATCATTAATATTAGTTGTTAATTATATACTAATTAATTAATTAATTAAGTGAATAATAAAAAAAATAAAAAATAAATTATGTTTACTCACTGCAATACAAATGTCCTTGAGGAAAAGACCATAGGAAAACCACATTACGGCACTCAATGTAAGGAAAAATGATAAGTAAAATGGCATGAATTCCACACTCCTTGTTCGGATGACCTGTGCCTGCAATTTATATATAACTAAATTAATAAATTAAAAGAGAGAAATTCTAATTTATATGGGATTGATATTTAAGTTAAGTAAAATTACCACAGCACTTAAGGGGGCAGCAAAAACAATGACAGAAATGGCGACATTGATCCAGCCAAGAACTGGGACCCGGTATTCACTTCTCACAGCAAAGTGTGAAAGGACAAGGATCGAGCAGAAGAGCCCCACGTTCATAAAACCAAATAATTTCAGGGTGAATTTCTGCCAAAAACAAAATAATTATTTGTTGAATCAGAACATAATTAATTAAGACATTACTTTACGTTACGCAAATGAAATAAAATTAAGTGTCGTACCCTGGCATCCTTTGGTGCATAAAAAATGAACATGACGATGTAGATAGTTTCTATTACAGTTCCGAAGGAGTTAATGGTGATGAGAAGCATAGCATTCTTTTTCACCAACGCATAGTAGAACCAAAGCATCCCACTGAACAATGCTACCAGATATGGCACCGATTGGAAACCTTGAGTTGATTTTTTCTTGTAAATTCCATAAAATGTGGGCCTGCAACAACCACCAAAAAAGAAGAAAGATATTTAAATAAATATAACTGTGTGTGTATCCCTTTTTAAATAAATATATATATATATGTGTATGTGTCACTTACACTGGGGCTAGGAAAACCATGAACGAGATTACATTTCCTGTCATCAAAAAGAAATTATATTAATTATCAACCGGTCACTTCTTTGTAAATTGTTAGATATTTATGTAAGTGTGGTCATTCAAATGAAATTTCTAAACTAACCAAGATTACAACAAAAGAAAGAAAAAAAAAACACTCTAATTATCTAATTGATGAGGAAAGGTTGATCATCCAAGATAACACTGCTTTACAATGTTACTTAAATATAAAAACTTACCCGTAAATGAACTAGAAGAAAAAATTGGACAACTTATTGTCAAATTTAGAAAATTTATGGCTGTGTGGATTTAAATTCCTCCTCTGGATATTGCCAAAGATGAACGAATGCCAACTAAGAAATAAAGGTGACTCATAACCGAGAAGAATATGACAATAACATACAAGTGTATGTCCTCAACAAATATATATATGACGCCTGCATCATATTTTTGTCTTGCTCATTACTTTGGTATACCCAGCTAATTAAGTTAGTGTAGCTAAGCTAGCTATAACCCAGTTTCCATCACACTGAGAGCTGATGGAAGATGTTATACATATCAAAGAATGAAGATGCGGATCATGCCAGTTAGTGAAGGCAATTAGAATTCCCCTTCTCGTGCATTAGAGATATGACTTTTGTCAAAATAACTATATATCTCAAAGTATAATGCATGTTTGTTTACCTAGGATACCAAATGTGAATGCCCAAGGATGGTCGTTGACTGCTAGTGCACCCATGATAGCAAACTCAAAGTGAAACTCTCTATCTCACAAAATGAAAACTGAAAGGATACAAGAAGAAGCTTAGACTCAGTTGGTGATGATATGAGTGACCCTAGAGCTCTCTCTTCCTCTCTCTCAATTCTCAATTCTCAATTCTCAGTTCTCATGCAGAGAGAGAAAATGAATGGAGAAGTAGTGAGTGGTAAGGAGGATGGTTGATGGGTTTGCGCAGCTTTGTTTATATACACACATAAAGTGGGAAAGAAGAAAATAAAAAAGAAAAAAGAAAAAAGAAAAAAAGAGAGAGGAGAAATAAGTAAGGGGTGTGCGTATTGAACTCATTCTGGTTGCATGACAGATGTAGGATTAGTAGGTGGTGTACCATAAACTCATTCACTGAACCACAAATACAAGCCCCACGTGCCCCACCCCATCGCGTGCCAATAGAGCTAGCACTCACCACACTAGCTATGCACTTTTGATAGGCATTAGGATCACCCCACATTGTTAATTGTTGATTAATATCACCCTAAACTGAATTAGGAAGAGATGATTCTTTTTTAATACAAACGGTAATCTAAATTACTTTAAATTAATATAATTTATGGGGAGGAGGATTCGAACTAAGGTGCAAGGGGACGGACTCACTGCCCTATAGCCAACTGACCTAACCCACGTCTGCAGGAAGAGATGGTTTTTAGGTTCAAGTGTATGATTGTTTATTAATCAAGTTTAGAGGGGCTATTAATTTTACCATAACATGAATCCAACGCTTGTTGAGAAAGAGTAGTTAAACTTAATTAGTGGCTTTGCTCTAACTAAAACAGGACTTTCCTCATCATAGCGCAAAAGCTAGAGCTACCATTCACGTGACCTATCTCATCTCTCCATTTCCAAAACAGAGTGCCTTCCTCTGCCTTTGAGAGCCGTTTCTCCATTTATTCTGAGGCATTAACGAAACACGCGTTGCCGCGTCAGCCCTAGTTGTCATTTTTATAGTTCTCACAAGTCACATACAAATGACAATGTTGTTTTGCGAAGCTTTTGATCCAGGCCGTTGATGTTTGTTTGGTAGCGGGGGTAGCTTCTTCACTGTTCATTCAATTAACCAGGTTTCGTGTGCATCGGGGATCTCAGTGTCAGTGTGCATGACTTTTTTCCTCTTCAAGTAATCAAATTTCCAAGGGCTGCCCAGCTTTTTCATACTGTTTGCGGTTATGAGAGGGAGGGAGGTTTTAAGTTAAGACAAAAATATTAAATTATGATGTTGTTGTTATTCATTCTTGCCTCTATTATTTGCTTGGTGGATGGGAGCCTTTGGACACACAGATATGTACCAGCTGGTTTATTATAGGACGTGAATATATGTGATTTGATTGCCATGTTTTCTTCTCCTAGAATAAATATATAAATCGTGTATATGCTTTACCCTTTTTAATAATATTATTGCCGCTAAACTTGTTTATCACACACATCCGTATCTCAAAAGACTTGGTACGTAATTAGAATAATAAGCAAATTAATATTACGTGAATTTTTCAATTTCGAACTATATATATTTTCAAATAAAAAATCTAATTAATTACGTTTGACAATATAACATACTAAGAGCATCTCCAAGGGAGATGTCAAATACCAAACATCAAATTTAAATTTGATGGCTGATGTGGGAATTTAACATCTTA